ATAGAGCAACTGTATAAACCACAACAGCTTCTGGAGCTATACTATCTGATGTTGCAATGCCATTTGAGACTAATAAGATTTCCACTAATTTGCTAATTAGTTTGATATCACCTAGGGTGTGAGCTTTTAGCCTGTCATCTTCCTAATAAGCCATGTAGCTAGAGAATGGGCAAAAGAGGATTTACCTTCATCAAAGGCTGACACTGCAGCTAGCTTGATTTTCAATGAGGATGTCTGGAGGCCAGACTGATTAATGTAAAAGGTACTCAAGCAGCCTGTTTGCGGGACATACATAGGTTATTACGGTTCCAGTTGCTTAGTCTCAAACCATTGTCCATTTGAAATCATATGAAGAAGTCCACTGAACTTCTTAGTTAGGAGACCTCAAATTTTTTCAGACACACCAGCTGCTGGATCTCTACCCACTCAGAAGCCAAGCTGGAAGTGAGAGAAATTCTCTATTGGGATGAAGAATGTCCTGGTTCTAGGTGAATAAGTCTCAAAAATTTCTGATTATGTGACAGGCAATGGCCTCAATTAAAAGAGATGGGTGAGTTCTTTCCACTACTGAGAAGTCTTATTCATAGAGTTGTCACAGATTCAAGGATGGAGTTGTATTGATAGTTTTTTCTCATGAAAGGGCAAACTTATCTCTTGTAATTTCTTTTTGTACATATTACCATATTTTTATACCCATGGCAAAACAAACCAATCCCAAGTTTCATCATTATAAATGAAGTGATCTACACTTCTGACAGATGTATCACTCACATGTTTTAAGTTAATTTAATGACTTTTTTCAACAATGAAGATAATTTTTCCCTTCCTTGTCAATACCCATTTCTATTATTTATACTTTAAAATCCCTACTGAATGTCTCCAATAAAAGTAACATTTTAATTTTAATTTTCCCCTTTCATATATATGAAATTCCCTATTATAAATAGAAGCTTCCAAGACAACACAACATTCTCCTAATTACATCATAATCCAATTTATAGGGTGAAGAAAATCATTTAGAGAAGGAGAAAAATACTTCAAAAAAACAAGTTACACTTAAGCTTTTGAAGGCTTTTAGAATGTGTTTAGTTATAATTAACTACTAAGCAAGCTAATTAAAACTCTTTGTATATTCTTAAGAAAAACTTATGATCATATTAGTAGGTTATCAGCAATACGTTATACAAATCCTTTACAGAAGTATAAAATACACATAACTATTAAAACTCACCTATTATAATATCTGCCTCCCATCATAAACTGATTGCTTGATGTTGGACATATTTTAAAACGTTGAATATTTTCACTGGTCCGAAAATAAAGTGAATAATCACCAGGTGTGTTATCTGAAGGCCTCACAAGAAAACTGCACACCTGACCAACTGAAAAGATATAATACAGTGTTATTCACTGTTAGTTATCTTAATGTCATTTATGAGCTCTTATCAAAGCTCTTTCTGTACAAATTAGCAAGAATTGCACACTTAAAGGAGAAAAACTGATGTAAATTCCAATAGCAAATCCACATTCTTCACCCAAATGGGATGAAGTATTACTAAACTACCAAAGTTAATGCAAAATCATTTGGCTGTAGCTGATAACCTATCTCCACTTTTGCCGCCTCTTTACAAGAGTATATGGTTTACATGTGGGAGGTTTGACAATGTTTTCAAAAAAATGAAGATTTTTGTTCTCATATTTAAGGTACGTTATTTGACAGTATGAATCAGAAATCTTGATGTTTTAATTTTAATAATTATTTCCTCTATGAGGAGACTAAAAAAAAAAGTTTATAATACATTCTCCCATAAGTACATAACAGTATTTTCTCCTTAGCATTTTGAAAAAGCCCAAGATATTTTTTTATTTATATATATTACAAAAAATAAAAAAACTACTTCAATTAGAATTATGAAACTAACAGTACTTGAGAACGCAAAAAAAAATACTCAGTGCTCAGCCATGAGGTTTTTTTCCAATGTAGTAGTAACCACAGGTCTGATGCTCATATGTTCATACAGAAAAAAACAGGTTTTGCTGCGATCTGTTATAAACAGGATTACTTTGTGTCATTCTCCTACCACTGTATTTCCATCTGAAATACGAGTACCTGTCATCAGCAAATTGTAAGCCTCTTGTTTGGAGATCTTCCCATGGAACCATCTTAAAGATGAAGAGAAAAATTAGAAAGCAAGACTATCAGCTCTCTTTTTTAGTTTTTGTGACATCTAAGGCTCTGGCACCTATGAATTTTTCTTTATTGTAAAAACCTAGTACCTATAGATTATATAAGCAAACATTATGTTACTCAGCAATTCTGTTTTTCTACCAACAGAATGAAAATTATATCTCTACAGCTATATAAATAAACTTATTTCAATATGAGTATCCAACACAAAGTAAATGTTCAAATTCAAGTGTGTTTAGAAATGAAAAGGCATTGTTTAAATGCTAGATAATTTGACAGGCATATTTGAAGTCAGTCTCAGAGAGCAATTTATTTGAAGCGTGAAATGCAAAGCCCAAAGAGATTAATGAAAGTAAAATACTGTGCAGAATAACCAAAATTTAATTTTGCTAGAAGCTGAGGAAATAAAATCTAGCTTTGTTAGACTATTGAATATTAATTGCTTTAATCTCACACCTTGCATCTTCCACAGAGTCCTACATCAGAGCATCATCCCAAAAATATACAGCAATTTGTCCAGTCTCAACATGATACCTATGATTATAGGAAACAGCTTGACATTGCATGGCTATTCGATTTACATCTGGCACACCACATACTACAATTTAAGAGCTCATCCTGTCCTTTAAAGGAAAGCTAGAAATATAGCCTTTCATTGCAGTGTGTGTGTGCATGCACGTACGCATGTGTATTTAAATGTGTAAAAGAAAGCTTCTTTTACACATCAAAAAAGAGCTCTAGTTCTAACTTGCTTTCTATATTACCTTCACAGGGCAATCTCTGGCTACTGGAACATTCACAGAAATACCTGCCTCCTTTGCAGTCCTCTGAGCAGCATGAGTAACTGGACTGATAGTGTCAAAGCTCTAAGAATCTGCTACATACTACTTTGTTAAAAAAAAAAAGTTCCTGTATTTGAAGTCTGCTATTAAAAAAAAAAAAAATCCAAAAAAAACCCAAACAAAAACCCACAAAACAAGATATGCCTTCTTCAATCATCAGTCCTTTAGAGACTGCAAACAGGGCAATAAATACAGGAAGCAACAGCTGCAATTATATCAAGCAAATGGAGGACAGATTAAGTTGTTCAGCTACTAGAAATTTTCTGTAACTTTCATTTGCTACTCATCTTTCCTACTGAAAATAATATAACAATCAACTGTTTCCCATGATATCAATTCATTGTTCATTGTAAACTGTATTAGGTTTGGGGTTTTTTTAAAGTATTTAACAAGTTGAAATTCACTGCAGATTATTCTATAGTCCTCTGGTTTTTGCTTTAAGTGTTAGCACATGAGGCTAATACAGAGAAAGTGTTATTATTACACTATTATTCCTCTAATGATACTTTGTTACCTCTCCTGCATTTAGAGTTGAGCAGACTTGAAAAAAGGTTACCTCTAAGGCACACTGTACATGTATTAAAAACCCCCACAAATCAGAAAAAAACACACCCTCCATTGTATATATTCTGGATAAAGTGATCACACAGAGACTTCATCCATGATTTTATCACTACAAAACCCATTAACATTAGGCATAACTAATACAAGACTTTCATGTCAATTACCTATGCATCTTCAACAGCTAGTATAGAAGAAAATTCTTAAGATCAAAAAACAGGTACACACAGATTTGGTTCATCTTCCCAATCTCATAGTTAAAGTTTACAAACAGTTATTTTATTATTTGATTGTAATTAAAACAAAACAAAAATCCTTACATTTTGCCTTCATGTGGATCTTCTTCTCTTCCCTAATAGGAGAATTAAGATATTAAGTGCATGACAACAGTATGCTTGAGTTTAGAAAGTAAACTTCATAGGTTAAGACCTTCTGTATAAGCACTAAGAAGCTAAAGACATTTTTGAACTAGATGGCTTATTGCACAGTTCATGTAAAGAGGTTTTCAACTTAATTCACTAAGTGGAAATTCAGCCATAACACATTACTTCAAAAGACTGGTTCTGTCACTCTTCAAGTCCTTTTTTATTTGTGGTAAGTTAAATCTCAACTTTTCTGAACTTCAAGCACTAATGTAGAAATCTAGTTAGATACTGTAACACTGCCATTTCAATTTAGCCATTCACATTCTGATATAGATGTGATAAACAGGTGAAGCAAACTCTACTAATAGCAAAATATATATGCTGCAAAGCAAACATCAACAGGACTACAAAGTAATGGTGAACATCTTTAAAAAAAGCACATGGGAAGGTGAGGTGGGTGTTTTTGTCCATTAAATCATCTCTTCTCCTGCAGTAATTCAATCATCTTTAAGTCACCTGGTTAGTTTCCTGACTTAGCATAAGCCCTTCTAGGTATAATTAACTCATCAATATACTTTTAAATCCATACTTGGCCCTTAAAAAAAAGACAGATTTACCGCAGTGCAAAATTTCACTCTATACATTTATGAATGTTTCATAGCAAACAAATAAGAATGTAACTGAATGATTAGCAAGTTCTTTGTCAGGACTGGTGAGTTGAGAGATCTGCCTAATAAGTTCACAGTATCATTCATTTGCACATGAACTTGTTTGAATAACATGTGAAGAAGTATTTTGTTTGGATATTGAATGAGACTTAAAGGTTTGTTATACTATTTAAAAACTGGCAGATTCAATTATAGAATCATATAGAAACCAATCATAGAATGGTTTGGGTTGGAAGAGACCTTAAAGATCATCTAGTCCAACCTACCTGCCATGGGCAGGGACACCTTCAGGAAAGTTTAGAAAAGTACATAAAGTCAGGCAATTAAACACCACTAGTTTGAGTTTATTTCAATGTTAATTTAAACACACACACAAATAAATAATAAAAACAACAAAAACAACAAAGAAATCTCAGTTCTCCAACAGATTTGAATTTAAAATTACTTACCACTTCTTCTACCAGGTCTTCTACAATAAGACCTTGTTCATCTGTTCGTAGGTTTGTAACCCACATCCAGCCATCTTCCAATTCATTATGGAGAATAAACATATCTCCTTTAAGGAAACTGAAGAGAGTTACAGTAATATTTACGTTAGAAGTACAATCATAATACAAAGTTTAATACACCACAACATTAAAAGATAGTAACATCCTTCTTTTATCAAGAGGGAACAAATACTAAACACAAGCAAACACAATCAAAGATTCCATTAATAGACTAAGAAAACAATACTTATATCAAAACCTAATTTTATAAAATAAAGCCTGGGGAATACATACTATTGGGTTGGAAAAAAAGTAAATGCTTTTTTTTTTTTTTAAATGGATGGACATACTTGTCTTGAAATGTGTCCTGGTTCGAGCTAAACAGAAATAATTTTCTATTTATTGAATTTACTTTTCAGCTCAGTCTCTTCTAAGTGTCTGAACTTGCTGAAACTAGCAGCATGTTTTTCCAGACAGTGTGTACTGCTACAAGTAATAATGACAAGCCCACTATTTCACCATGGGTGCCGTGTCTGCACCTATGGG